ACTAGCCTGAAATAACGCTGACCTTGCTAATGTTGATCTTGCCTAGCGCATGCCCTGTGCGATGTAACCTGTACGCCTCTGTCTAAGTCTTTTTGATCTGTACATCCTTTGCTTACTATGATTTCTCTGTACCGCTGGTAAACAAAGCTTTTCACTGTATTTCGGTACAAGTGACAATCAATCAATCAATCTATCTGACACATATTGCAGGTACAGCAAAATTCAACCGTATCTTTATGTAATCCACGCCAATAGAAATGCTTCTGTATCTTGGCCTGAATCTTCCTCACTCCTAGATGACCTCCTACAGGTAATTTGTGTGCTACCCATAATACTTCCTGTCTGTATGCTACCGGCAACACAATCTGGTGAACTTCCACCCATTTCTCATCTGCACTAACCTGCCATGGTCTCCATTTCCACCTTAGGATTCTATCCTTAAGGTAATAACATTCGGAAATACATTCTGATCCCTTTTCTGAGTAGGCTTTCTGATATAAATCTTTTATTGTCTTGTCTTTTTTTGTTGTAACTCTATTAATCTTTCAGAACTAAACACCTCTGACTGATCCTCTACCTGCTTAGGTTTTCCTTTACCATCTCATCAAACAGGGTGTTAGCTAACTGGGCCTCAACTCCTTCATCTTTCTCCTTGGTTTTCCCTTCTTGCTTCAATTTATGGCTGTGGGATCTTGTCACCACACAGTCGGAAAATTCCAAGGCATTTTTGTTTTAACTCTTCCCAGTTCCCTCGTTTTCTTTCAGTTTCTCCACTACATGCGCATCACTCCCACCTTTGATCCTGCTAGGCCATTTCCAAGAACAAACTATATTCCTGGAATAGACACTCTTTCAATCACTCCCACTGTCACTTCCCCAGCCTTGATTGGACTTTCCAATCTTATCTTACACAGGGGAATGCTAAATCTCTCTCCATTTATTCCACAGATTATTGCTCTCTCGGCTAACATTTCAGAAGGATTGCAAATACTTTCATCTCTTACTATTACAGACTGACCGGCTCCTGTATCTCTCAATATTTTAACTTGTTTACCTTCTCCCTCTGTTCTGCCTGAGTAAACCTTACCCACAGAGGTGAAGTTTTTGAACAGATCAGCCACTATCTCACTATCCAGCCCATGACTAGGCTGTGCACACTCCTGCAGCTCCTCGACTTCTCTTGGGATTTCTTTCACTCCCTCAACTAATCTCACTGATTTCTCCTGTTTTACTACATCCTTTTTCCCAGGGCCTTTCTTAAACCACCAGCACTGTGACTTCGTGTGTCCCACTCTATTACAGTCTTTCACCTCCTTTTCACCCTCTTGGGTTTCTTTTCTCACATGTGTTAAACTATTCCCAGTGTGATCTACTTTTCTGTGTTTCACTGAAGGATCTCCTTCTGTCTCAATCTCTGTCCCTCACAGAATGAAATTGCTGTTGGAGCTAGACTTTGATTTATGCCCTAATACGTATTCATCCTCCATCTCTGCAGCTCTTCTCGCTATTTTAACTTTCTGTTCCTCAACATGAGATCTTATTGCTGAAAGTGAATTTTGAACTACTCCAGCAGAACGATCTAAGATCCTCATATGTCTGTTCTACTTTTAATGTTCTCATCCATCTATCCAAGTTGTGCTGTTTAATTCTTTCAAACTCGACATAAGTCTGATCTGGTTCCTTTCTTACATTTCTGAACCGTTGTCTATACGCTTCTGATATCAATTCGTAGGCACTCACTCTCTCATTTTCTCCTGACACCTCCTCTGACAGCGCTGCAGACACCTCACTTGCTGCTTGGCCTGCTGTGTTCATCCAGCCCTGAACCTTGTTACCTCACTAGCCCTGCCTACTGACTTGGTCTGAATTAACATTATCCACATAGTCTCTGGCCAGTTCATCTGTTTAGCCAATGTCTCAAAGGAAATGAAAAAGGCTTCTACTTCTTTTTTTAATCGAATTTTGATAATGTTTTGACATATTTGTACATATCTCTACCAGGTCTTTGGCTACGATGGGTCTGCTCATCAACGCTCTCCTCCTCACTAAGTCTATCTTCTACCATCATCTCCATCATTTTAAGTCGGCTATCCTGTTTAATTTGCAGCTTCCAAAGTTCAAACTCTCTCTCTTTTTCCTTTTGTCTTTCCTCTGCTTGTAACCGTAATTCAAACTGTTTCAGTTCCCTTTCATTCTCTACTCCAGTTGTCTTATTTGCAATTTAATTTTTTTTTCTAACTCCACTGCACCTGACGATTTCTCTGGTATACCTAAATGCTTGACTAACTCAGTTACAATTTCAGCTTTCCTCTTATCCCTGGTTAAGCCCAAGTCAGCCAATTTGCTAAAAGTATATCCTTCCTCTGTCTTTCTGAACTTTCTTGGCAAATTTGGGAAGCATCCTCAAACCCCAGAGCCTCTTTAGCAATGTTAAGAGCCATTTTGCCCATGTTTGATTTAACCAACCACAAGTAACTGAAATTAAATAGATTTTTATTTAAGTTTTATTTAAAGATCTAGGACAATAATCCCCAAGTCTGTTTAAATCTGCTGGGACCTTTCATACCCCAAATCTGTTCAAATCTGTCCAAATCCATTCAGATCCCATACACAAACTGACCAGATCCTGGACTTGAGCCCCCAATCTGTTATAAAGCGAAGGTCGATATCCCCCACCCTACCCCCACCCACCCCCCGATAACTAAAACCGAAACACCCAGAGAAGCTCACATCATGTGAAATGTGAAAAGTGGTATTACCTGCCTCTCACCCCTCCCAAGCAGTTATAAAGGGGACGTTAAATGAAATGAACTCCTAAAAGTCACTCTATAATTGACAAGTAACAATTTATTTATCTAACTCTAACAGTGAACAAATTAACTGAATCATTAACAAACCAAACAATTCCCCCTTACCTACTAACTATTCCCAAATAAAACAAAATTCTAATGGTATGCTGTCCCAATCAATACAATTCCCACTTGTATAAACCAAATTAATTAAAAAAAAATTAAAACTTAGTCTGTCAAAGTTGCAGCCCGGATACGTCTTCCGGAATGTTCTGTGCCTTCTCCCTTGATCTTCAGTCAGGAACGCCTTTCTCCATCAAATTCTTATGTTAGGAATATTAGCTAAGAGTGCCGCTGTACCTTTAGTCAGATGATCGTTTTCTGTGAGCTCAGAGAATTCTGTGAGAGCCAATGATTTTCTCTTTAGGGCTGATGGTTGTTAACTCTAACAGATGGCAGTTGCTCTTGCACCGATTTTCAAATATCCTCTTCTTTTATACCCTTGATGAGCTATTGATTTCTTGGAATAGGATTGGTCCTAGGTTATCGAAACCATCAGATTTAAATTTAATTGGTTATTAGTCTCTAAGTGCCTGGTTTAAATTGATTGGCTGATTCAAACTGATTGCCTTAATAACAAAACAAGACTACTTCCTGGGTTGCTAACCATACAGCCTTTTGATACAAATGTTTGAATTTCAGGAACTCTCTGTGCCTGCTGCTGATCACAGACATTTTTTTTCAAAAAGCCCGTCATCATTTAAAGGGACCACGCACTCTCGCGCCGCCCCGCCCCCATCCCTGCAATCATTTTACAAACGAATTCTAATGTCCTGCCTTCCAGCCCACAAATACACCACCCCACTTCACAGCACCCAGAAGACTCCAAACTGAATACCCAAACCCCATCCCCAACCCCCATACCCCCCCGCCACACGCAGACATAGACACACACACACACACACACAGCTCGCATACAGAACCAGAGACTTGGGATGAACTCCAGCCTCAGGCAATTGTCTGTCTGGAGCTTGTTCATTCTCCCTGTGTCTGCCTGGCTTTTCTCCAGGTGCTCCCACAGCCCAAAGATGTGCAGGTTATGGTGGATTGGCCATGCTAAATTGCCCGCAGTGTTCAGGGGTGTGCAGGCTACATGAATTAGCCATGGGAAATGCGGGGTTACGGGATTTGGGTGGAGCAATGTGCCTGGGTGGACTGCTCTTCCCAGGCTTGGTGCAGACTCAATGGGCTGAATGGCCTCTATCTGCATTGTTGGGATTCTATGAGAGAAACAGAATTAACATTTCAAGTTTTTAAGTTCGAGTTAAAACTCTGTTCTGAAGAAGGGTCACTGGAGTTGAAAAGTTAACTCTGTTTTCTTCCCACAGATGCTGCCAGACCCGTTGAGTTTCTCCTGCACTTTATGTTTTCATTTCAATTTAAAACATCACCATGTCTTTGAATAAAACGTTTTTACCACAAAGCATGTCGAGACACAAAGAAAACAATAAAACCATAAATCAAAACCATCTTCTGACTGACCTGAGCCATGTGGTTTCATTCTTACAGAAACTGTTTTACAAAGGAGTCACACTCAAACCAAATATAATGTAATACTTTACTTGGTAAAACCAAACAAATTAATTATCAAACAATAACTCACACCCCGGAAAGGGTCGATGGAATGAATGGCCTGCTCCTGTTCTTTTCGAGCCACACTCACACACCCATACACAGACACACACCCACACAGACACACACCCACACCCACACACACACCCAGACACACACTCTCACACACAGACAGACACACAGACACACCCACACACAGACACAGACACATAGACACAGCCACACATACACACCCACACACAGACACAGACACAGACACAGACACATAGACATAGCCACACACACACACCCACACACACAGACAGACACAGACACATAGACACACACACACACACACACACACACACAGTCTCCCGCACATCAACAAGTGCATACCTCATGTACACACACATTTACAATCACAAGTTGGCCAAGGGAGCTGTGTGCTGGGGCTGTTGTTTACTGTGGGAGCAGCTGGGACCTGGGCCTGGTGTCGATTCTGTCCCTGATACCCAGGAGCGGTCCCCCACTCAGTGACCACCCCCAGCAGGTTTCTTGCTTGCCCCCCCTTTGCGCTAACATGGCCATCATTATCTACAGGTGCTGCAACTGGACAGCATGAAGGACGAAGAGGATGCTGTGAAGACTCCAGTCCAGACCCAATATTATGACCTGGCTGCTCCAGAACCATCTCCCCACTCCGAGAAATCGGTGAGCCTGCCCACTCTCACAAACGTCAATCATTTACCATTTCCCAGCCTTATACCAACAGCATTTAACCATCAAATACACAAACTCCTGACCATCGCCACTTACTGCAATATCACATTGCTGCCTGATTATAGCCAGGACTCTATCTGCCTGTCTGTATGTGTGCCTTTCCGTGTCAGTGTCTCTTTCTGTATCTGTGTGTATGTCGGTGACTCTCTGTGTCAGTGTCTCTTTCTGTAAC